TATGTGTAGCTACCCCTGTGCGAAGCGGTGAAGATATTCCCGTGCGCGTTTCTGCGTCCGCGCTGTTGGACAGGCATACACAAAATACACACATAAGCCATTTTGCGCACACGAGAAGGGGGGTCTACTTTCCCCGGCGCGCGGCTCACATTTTTGCATCCCCACCGCCGTTCCAGCGAGAAGCAGCCTCAATGAAAGGCACAATTACGCAGGTTGCCATTTGGTGCGCATATATTAGGGGAGAAAATACAAGTGGATAGCTAGCCAGGTGTATTAATATGATAACCACGCTTTTTCTATGCGACAAGATTCCGTTTAAAAGAAGGAAAAAAAAAAAAAAGGATACCTTTTGTCACCGACGCTTGACCATTTGTTTTCCAAAAGGTTCAGATTTTTCCTTAAGTGAAGGAATGGCCATATTTTCCCTCTGGAGTTCCTTGTTACTTCTTGGCGATTCTGAGGGAGCGAAATGGGACAAGCGCCCGCGGGGGTGACGTTTAACGGGTCTGACCGACCCAGATCTCCCCGAGAAAGCAGTCCGTAGGGACATTTTAAAACCGTCCCAATTGAAGTAGATATGTTCATGTGGGAGGTGGTAAAGATTGGCCTCCCCAATTAGCTGCGAATAGGTCATTAGGTGGGGGATTAACTTCTTTCCCCCTGGCGCAATAAACCCCTTTTATACACATCGGGATCTCATCCATAGTAGAGCTAACCCTTAGGTGTGCCTCCCCCCTACCCCCTCTTTACGTATTAGAAAAGCGTTTGGAAAGATTACCAATCCTTTGTGTGAACCAACCCGGGAAAGTTCACTTCTACATGGATGGTCCTTAGCAAGTGTCGCTCCACTGGTAGGTTTCCCCCCCTAAGAGGTGCCCAATTGGAAAACGTAGCAGCTGTTCCGACGATGTACGCAAAGAGGTCATTCCGTCCAAGGAAGGAAAAATGGATACGCATGGAGGAAACTATACACTATATAGATATATATATATGTGTATGTGTGTACATTTTGAGGGGGATAGCAAAGGTGCTCATTTTTACAGTTCGTGGGGGCTGACTGGGGAGGGGGGGAAGCTGATTCGTCTCCACGTTTCTTTTTTTTTTTTTCTTTTTTTTTTTTTATCTCCTACTGTCTATGTCTATCCCCCCAACTCCATGTACCAAATTGAGATGAACTAATTTGGTTTGACCTTCTTGAGGAAATTCTTTACGCTGGAAGGAACGAAAAAGGGAGGGGCGCCTTTCCTCATCCCGACTAGAAATGCATCATGTTCGTCAAAAGGAGACATCTACCCCCGCTCTCTTGTACTTGCATAAAATTCTTTTACGCATGTGTGATCGTGGTGATAGGAAGTTACACAACTGGATTGAGTCCCCAATGAGAGGCACACACAAAACAGAACCTAGGTACGTACCGATGTGCGAAGTAACTTTTAACGTGTCAGATTCATACGTTCACACACACAGAAAAAAAAAAAAAAAAAAAACAAGTCGTGTGTCTGTGCTGGAAAGAGAATCCAAGGTGGACGCAGTTCGCCTGCAGGGAACATGTAACACCACTTCGAGGGCTGTGAATGGAAAGAAAAAAAAGGAAGAGGAGAAAATTCAGAGGTGTTAACAGTTGAGCCAGGGAAAGGAAAAAAATGAAATGAAAAAGATACGACGGAAAAAAGGAGACCCCATGAGGGGAGATACAGCGGTACTATCACATAAAAGCTCAAAAGGGAGTACAACAGAGTTGGATGAGGCTCTCAAGAAGGGTCGACCCCTACGATGATGCGTTCCCTTTAGGCATACACGCTCCTGAAGTACTACGCGCAAAGAAGAGAAAAAAGAAAACACAAAGAAGCGGGGAAAAAAAAAGAAAAAGAAAAAAAAAAACAGAATGGTATAGCATAATGCAATACTTGGCAAAATGTGCTCTTTCTTCATCGCTAAACACAGGCATCGAAAAATAATTCGTAAACGAATTTAGGAAGATTTACCCCTCTATTTTTTTCTTTTTTTTTTTTTTCTTCTTTTTTTCGTCCTTTTAATTCATTCACTTTAGCATACGCCATCGTCAGTTCGTTCATATTCGCTAAGTTCTTCCAGCGCAGTAGCACTATAAATGCGATGGGCACGTAACATAGAGGTTTTCCCTTTTTATCTACATTTTTTTAATTCATTTTTTCCCCTATTGCGTACGGCGATGCACGAAGAAACTTCCCTTTTTTAACCCCCCTCTTCAGCCTTCTTTTTTCTGCCATTATTGCTGATCGGCACGCATTTGTGACTCCTTGATGCGTTAAGAGAGGAATACGCATATAACGATCCTGCCTTTGTTACAGTGCCAACCGACTTGCACGACGTGCGGCCACGGCATATTGCCTACTGACACGTTGCGTGTGGGACCACGTGCTGTACGCTTGCATACGTTGGATGAACCTGCGGCGAGGTGAAGAGGCAGTCCAGGGTTCTACACGGCAAATCCCATTTGAGTACGAACATCTCGAAGCATAGTCTCTTCCGTGAATTCATTCCAATCGGTGGGCGCACGCTGCGCTATGCTGACCGAGACATCACGTGCTCCTTAGTATCTACCCACGTGGGTCCAGCATATTTCCTATTCACGTATGCGCCGCTTCCCCTGAGCCACATCGCCGATTGTGATACAACATGAGCAAGGAAACGATCACCACCAAAGTGGAGGCCTCGCGGATCAACGCGATGGCCGCCTTGCGGGACTACAAGGTGTGCCCCAGGCTCGAGTACAAGACCATTTCTGGTAGGCATCTTCTTCTGCGCGGAAGCAGCGAGGGGACTGCCCTCAAACTTCTTATTTATTCGAGGTTGAAATGGGACCCCCTACACATGTGAAGAGCTTTATACGCGTGAACACCAATATACGCGTACACGTCTTTATACGCGTGAAGATCGTTATATGCATGCCCCCAATTTCTTGTGCCGCTTTTCCCATCCACCACCACCACCCATAGGCGTGCAAGGACCTCTAGTCATCATAGAAGATGTGAAATTCCCAAAGTACTCCGAAATCGTCACAATCCACTTGAGTGACAACTCCACGAGGCAGGGACAGATCCTGGAGGTGTGCGGGAAGAAGGCAGTAATTCAAGTTTTCGAAGGAACCAGTGGAATAGACAACAAAAACAGCTATGTGGAAGTCAGTGGAGATATTCTCAAAATGCCAATGAGCGACGAAATGCTGGGAAGAGTATTCAATGGCAGTGGGAAGCCAATCGATAAGGGTCCTAACATCCTCGCCGATGACTACTTGGACATAAATGGAAATCCAATAAATCCACAGTGTAGAGTGTACCCCAAGGAAATGATTCAGACGGGAATATCAACCATAGATGTCATGAATAGCATCGTTAGAGGACAGAAAATCCCACTGTTTAGCGCAGCAGGATTGCCACATAACGAAATAGGGGCACAAATATGTAGGCAAGCATCCCTCGTACAAGGAAAAGATGTGTTGGATCACTCGGATGACAATTTCGCAGTCGTGTTTGGTGCCATGGGAGTGAACATGGAAACGGCTAGATATTTCAGACAAGATTTTGAGGAAAATGGAAAAATGGAAAGAGTCTGTCTCTTTTTAAATTTAGCCAACGATCCAACCATCGAAAGGATCCTCACTCCTAGGATAGCATTAACGACGGCAGAGTATCTCGCGTTTGAAAAGGAGATGCACGTTTTTGTAATACTGACGGATATGTCTTCCTATGCTGATGCGCTAAGAGAGGTGTCCTCTGCAAGGGAGGAAGTGCCAGGCAGGAGAGGCTACCCAGGGTATATGTATAGTGACCTCTCCACAATATATGAGAGAGCTGGAAGGGTTGATGGAAGAAATGGAAGCATAACCCAATTCCCAATTCTGACTATGCCAAATGATGACATTACTCACCCTATTCCAGATCTCACAGGGTACATAACAGAAGGACAGATCTTCGTGGACAGAAATTTATACAATAGGCAGATTTATCCTCCTATCAATGTGTTGCCTTCTTTATCCAGACTTATGAAAAGTGGGATAGGACAGAATATGAGTCGAGTAGACCATCCTTACGTTTCCGATCAGCTGTATAGTAATTATGCCATTGCGCAAGATGTGAAGGCTATGAAGGCAGTTATTGGGGAAGAGGCCCTTTCAAATGATGATATATTGTACTTGGAATTTTTGGACAAATTTGAGAAGAGGTTTATCACGCAGAACACTTATGAGTGCAGGGACATTTACCAATCGCTCGATATCGCTTGGGAGTTGCTTCGAATCTTCCCCGAGGACATGCTCAAGAAGATCAAGTCGGACATCCTCTCCAAGTACTACCCGCGCCACCACGCCGGCTAGGCCAGAGGGGCCCGGAGCGCCTCAGCGCCGAAGCGAAGTGCGCAGCGGGATAGAAACCAGAGCAGCTAAAGTGACAACAATCGGGGCAACGGAACGACGTAGCAGTCGCCCCAGTTCTGCGAAGGAGTCGCGGTGGTGGAAGGGACATGTGGAATGGGCACTTGGATGAGTCGCCGGGAGTACAGACTGTGTCATTGTTCCATTGAAGTCTTACGTGTGTGTTAGGATTCATCTCCTGATTTACCCCCCCAGCAAAACACATGGCACTCCTTTTCCCTATCTACCCATTCCAATATGTGTTACGTGTGCATATCGCAATATGGGCGAATTTGTTTTTTTTTTTTTTTTTTTATAATACTCCTCGGGCGGGGGGTCTTTTCCCTTTATGCTTCCTCAGCGAAAGTAGGACATATAGACCTACACATAAACGTGCCTACTGTAGGTATGTCTAACTGCCTTTTTTTTTCTCTCTCTCTCACCACGTTTTATTGTCCTCCCCTCCTCCCCTTTTTTGTAACATTAGCCCCTTATTTTTTTACTATTCCCTTTCTGCATATTCGTCATCCCATGGTTCTCCCCTTTTTAATTTTTTTTTTAATATGTTTTTAATTTTATAAATAGAATAAGATGACAAAATACACAGCCCTCAAAAGTTACTATCGTCCGGATCGTGTCGGTAGACGCGGTTGTCGTGGTAGCGGCGACATGGGGGGTATATACCCGCTCGGCTGCCCCGAACTTGTTCGCGCGAAAGTTGGGCTCAAATGGGACTAAAAACGGCCATTAAATTGGCCGTTAAATTGGCTATCAAATTGGCCATTAAGTTCACCGTTAAGTTGACGTTAAAAAATAGACAGGCACCTTCCAACAGGGCGGAAAGATGCACAAATTCGGCCGGACGGCGCGGCCACAAAAGAGAGGAAATCAAACCGAAGCGGTGGGCGGCACCTGAGAAACGAGACGCAAAAATGAATTTACAAAAAAAAAAAAAATGGCAACATGTATGGGGCATGCCGATTGGCACAAAAGATAACCGGATGCTGCTTGTGTCGAGAAAAAGTTACTTCTCTGTACTGGGGAAAAAAACATAAAAAGGCGTAACTATATGCACAGAGGCGCGGACTAGCGCTCCATCTGCTTCGTGGACCAAACGTGCGAGCCATGGAGAGACACGATTTTCTCGGCCCGAGCGTCCACCACCGGATTTAGGGATTCTCCTATGGATAAAACATGGGGTGAATGAGTAGGATTTTTTCTTTTGTTCATATTTACTTTCGCTGCGGTCTGAAGCTTCTCAATAACTATTTCATCACATGTATCAAAAATGTGCTTTTTAAAATACACATCTAGCAACAGGCTCTCCACCAAGGTGCTGGCCCATTTCACATGGATAAAGTTAAAGACTTTGGACATACACTTAACGAATGCGCTTCGTTTAATCTTAAACAGTTCATAATCGTTCGGTAGGGTCCACTTGTCTTGGAGGTTAAGGAAGTTTTCGTCGTCCAGAAGTTCGTCTGCGCTATCGGTGGCATGGCAGGTGGTAGCGCCATCCGCTTCACACGATGTGGTGTTCTCCCCCCCCGGCGCGGGATTTCTCCTCTCCTGACATACGGCCTCATCAAAATGCTCATACTCCTTCAGCAGCTCATCCCAAATCTGTCTATATATACTAATCAATTTATTGAAAACAAAATTATCATTAAGCTTGTACAGAATGATGAGGTAGTATACCCTAATTTTAAGGGCCTTGAGATATTTTTTTTCTTGTTTGGTGAGAACTATTGTACTTGGCTGTTCCGTTGCTTGGGGGGTCACTGGCTTGGGCATCTCCTCTTCGCCATTGTGCTTTGAGGTTTGACTAACTGCGTCAGCATCGGAGGACCCATTCGTCGCACCATGGGGCGATTCGTTCGTCGCATCATCCCTGTTGGCAGAGTGCCCAACAGGATTTTCGGCTTCCTCCGACGCGCAAGCATTAGCAATTATTTGGAATCGATTGTCTATAATTCTATTAATAACCTTGTCAAATAGAGAGACCATGCATTTTATATGCAGCTCGTCCTCACTATAAACGGTGTAGATGCTGTGTGATGTTGTTTGTCCATCATCATCGTGGATATAATTTCGAAGGAATATCCTTACTATTTTGTCAAAGGCAAAAAAGAAAACATTTTTATTTTGATTATTAAGATAGTTAATGCAGAGATTTATGAATAAGGTTACACTTTTGACGAACTTGCTTTTTGAAAAAATATACCTATATATAATCATATGGATTCCTTTATATAGAGTAATGTTGTTATTACTTCGTTTGTTCTTTGCATTTTCGTCGTCCAGTCGTTGCTTGGTTTGTTCTTCCCCCTTCACATTGCCTCCTCCTTTTTGGTTGCTCTGTTTGGATGTGTCCACCACCTTGAGCTTATCCGTTTTTCTTTTTTTCTCGTATATTTCTGGGAAGGGAATAGTCTCATTGGCCTTCCTTTTGTTCAAATTGGCATATATGTCATTGTTTCTTTCTCTCTGATTTTTGTACTGGTGCAGGAGTGCGTCCCTTTGTTTATTGTAAATTCCATCGAGCTTCCTTTCATTTCGCGATCTTCCCACTAATTCTTTCATGCCTTTAAAAATGAAAAACGAGAAATAAATTTTTTTTTTTTTTTCAGTTCGTTACTTCTGGGGGTAGCCAGTAGACACGGGCGTACAGGAAGGAAATTAGATTTGTACAGTGTGTTGGGGCGGCGGCCTCTGGTTGGGATTTATGCTTTGCGATTGGCAGTTTGGAGTTTGCGATTTGCCGTTTGTCGCGTAAGAGTGGTATGCTGTGCTGTGCACTTGAGTTCGTTACGTATTAGCTATTTTTGTCATGATCTGGTAATAACTGCTCTGTTTCACTTCGCTAAGTTTTGCTTCCTGTTTGCGGTCTGCCCCGGGTTAATAGCCATGGAGGGGGTAAGTGGGGCTAGCGGCAAACGTTCGCCGAAGACTGGGTGACCACGTTCGTCCAAACTTAGCAAAAGCGTTCCGGTTGGTTATATCTGTAAATTCCCTTTTGAATCTCCCATATGTGCTCGCAGTGGGGAACAGCTACGGTGCGCGCACGTAAACATACATAAATGTATATATACGTGAATACCTATATGTGCACATATATACATATTTATGCGTATTTATATATGCATATACACTCACACGCTTGGATAATGCTGCTCGTCCATTTGGGCCAGGCTGGGAGGCATTCACGAGCGGCGCAGGGCTGCATATGTAATGTACAATATGCTTGCTCAGCGCTCGAAAAAATGAAAATAAATGAAAAAAATGAGAGAAACAGAGAAAAATCGTTCTCGCGGGATTGGCTGAACTGCCTTAAAAGATAAATTAATTTCTTTTAATTTAATTTCAAACTCGTTAAAAAGGAAAAAAAAAAAAAAAAAATGTACAAGTGAAGAGAAAAAACGCCCATTTGAAAAGCACCTTCAATATAGCATATAAAAGATGCCGCATAAAATGGAAAACCTCGGCAAGTTTTTTTCATTTGATTTATTTGAAATTGGGCGACATAAAACAGAGGCTCTTCGCTTGGATGCATTAACGCATAATAGATTAAAATGTATAGGTATATATATACATGAATTTTGCTGCCGCAGTTCTGCTTGTACAAATAATAGCACGTTGTATAAAGTATACCTGCATTTGTTTGGTGAGGATTTGCACCTCCCTCTCACTTTCCCCAATTGAGAATAATATATAAAATACGAGGCGATGTCCGGTTGCTGTATATGCTTTTGGACAAGTCCACATATTTGGGGGAGCGGGTAGTGTCATTAAAAGGGGAAAGGAACTAGATGAGGTTGTATTGCCATTCTGTATTAAACTGAAATGGAAGTGCCCCTCGCGCCGTTTTTTTTTTTACATTTTTTAACTAATTTTAATGAGATTTTTCTTCCTTTTTTCAACTTTGCGGGAAAAAGAAAAGAGGAAGCGCAGCAGACAGGCAGAACCAGTAAATAAAAATAAGCAAGCAGCGAAAATGGCAATAGCGTGAGGCATAAAACATCCCGTGGAAAGGAACAACTAACGTTGCAAGAGTGTTCACGCTGCTTTGTTCCGTTTTAACATTTCTTTTTTTTTAAGTTACTCCATCCGGAGAGTATAATTATGAAGCTTTGTCCACTTTTTTCGTTCAATCATAATTTGCGTTTTGGTTAGATCGCCCACAACGCTATGACAGTTTCATCCCCATGAGGGGAGATTTACAGCATTCCGGGTGAACCCTTTATTTTTCCCTCCACTGAAACTGTCCATATATTTTTGGTAGAGCCATTTTTTGGGGGATGGGACGGCGTGAGCGCAATGTATGAGCTGTGCGTGGAAAAGTAACTCAATGCACAGGAATAACCGAAGTGCTCCATCTAGTATTGGAGCTCCCCACGCATAGAGGCGCTTGCCGTCTTCCAAGGTACGTAAAAGATGGGAATAACTGAAGAGGCCTTGTAGCACTTACGTGCACTGGGGAGGAAGGCCAGGAGGGGCGCTTCAAACGGGAGCAGTGCGGTGAAATGGGGGATTCCACCCAAAGGAATCAATCGGGTGGACAATTCGGACGGGGGGCGAAAACGGAGGCCCCATTCCAACGCCGCGAAGCGTAACAGAGTTCACTTAAATTTAGAAGGTATTTCCCTGAAATGTTCTGTTGAATAAATGGCATTTTTTTTTTTTTTTTGCGAAAGATGGGATGGCTAAATTTAGCAGTTCCTGTCTGCGCACAGATTATACCCACACTTGGTATGAATTAAACGGTTGTTATCACTTTTTTTTTTTTTTTTTCTTTTCCTTCTTCCGCGTACGTCGCGCGCCAAATATGCACTTCGCGTGCATTAAGTGAAAAGATACAACGTGCAATATGACCATGTGGGTGGCCATTTCTTCTGGGAAATAAGCATAGTTCTTTGCCTACTCTTTTGCGTGGTTGTCGAGAGGGTCAAAATGGTCGGTTATGCGTGCACTTCCTGCCCCCTACATGTTCATATTCCTTTTTTGCTGCCATTTTTACGCCAATCGATTTGCGAAAGGGAAAGATAAAGAGGAAGTGACAAGGGAGCACACCGGAGGCACAGACACAACTGCGAAAGCGACGAAAGCGGCGAAAACGACAAAAGTGACGAAACCGGCCAAAGCGACGGAAGCGGTCAAAAGGTTGAACCACCGCCAACTTCGCAACGCGGCGGACGCCAGAGCAGCCGCATATCCGCGGCTAAACACAGGAGTACACGTGTACCACGTGACAGCGCGCGCACCATACGAGAGCGCACATGTTGTATGCAGCGGAAATGCATGTATGGGGTCTCTGGTTGTGCAATTTTGCATAAGGCTAAACCACGCCCTTAGAGAGTCTCACTTGTCACACGGAAAAAAATAAAACAAAAGAAAGCAGAATAGAATAGAACAGAACAAAATGAATTTACTATGGGGAATAATAATAGCACATTTGCTTTGTTATAATGTCGAGTTGCGGGCGAGACAGGTCAAGTGGGGACATGCGCCCCTTGGCGGTCAGAACAAGTTGGAGTCCGCCTGGGGAGGGGAAGCCACCATGGAGGAAGGAAACCCCCCAGAGGTTTGCAACGTGCATGGGCGCGCGTGGAGTCATGTCACAGTGTAAAAGTGTGCATACAACTGTTTATAATTATGCAGCATGCTCTGTGTTTCTGCGGCTCACCTGTCGCGTGCACACACGGATGTAGAGGTGCTTCTATATCTGTGAATTGGCCTGATCGTACAAATACGCCCGTTTGTGTTTTTTTTTTTTTTCCGGAAGGATGACACTGAAGAAGGGGAGACATCCCAAACATTCGACGAGACAAGCACTCTGGAGGGGAAGGATGAGCACCCGAACCTTAGATCGAGTAAGGGCGAGGGGCCCCCCGCTTAGTTTTAGCCATAGGAGGCGGCGCCGCATGCATGTTATGCTATATTATGTTATGCTATGTCATGTTATGCTGTGTTATGCTATGCTATCTTATGTTTTTTTTTTTTTTTTTTTCGAAGCCTTTTCATTCTTCCAAGGGAAGGGTCGAGAAGCACAACAGAACGCGCAGCAAAGACACGAGGGGAATGTGCAGCGCGGGAAGGCACCGAGTGACCACCAAGGGGAGCTGAATCATGTTAACACCTCCACCCAAATAGAAGGTGAAAAAATCATCAGGGAAGGGGAAAATTTTTACATCAATGGAGGAATCACCGATTACGAATACAGCAATGATGATGAATTTTTTAAGTCCTTCCATAGTCACAACGATGACAGGCAAATCGAAATAAACAGTCCATGTTTTAACATAAAAGATGAGAAGGAATGTACGGAGAGTAGGAACTGTTTCTATGATCATTCTTATCAGACATGCTTCCAGAATTGCAAAAGTTTGGCAGAAACGGAATGCTCCAGATACACTGAGTGTAAGTTGACCATGAACGGATGCGAAAATGAAGGTATCTCCTCGAGTGATTTTTCTTCGCCGTTTGTGACGAGCGGAGATGTGTGTGGGGGGGAGGGTGTCACCACAGTTGGCGCCGTTGAGAGATGTCTGCGCGTTAGTGAATTTTCCATTCTGTTGTTTCTTCCATTTTGCTCCTCTTTTCATTTTCTTATTTTTCTCTTTTCCCGCCCCTCTTGAAGGATACCTCAACATCAACGTGTTCGGCTCGGATATCGGATCGGACGTCCGCGCGTGCGAGCTGTTCAACTCCGAGGGCTCATGCTACATGATGGAGGAGCTGTATAAAAGCTTTGATAGCAAAAAGAAGACGAACTTTAACTGCGTCTGGCTGTCCTACAAGCATGAATACAGGAAGCACAAGGAAGGGGACGCCGGAAGGCGTCATAAAAAGGAACCACGTGAGCAGATGGGAGTCGAACTTGGCGGAGTCATTGACGTGCACAGGACGCACGGACAAAGCGAACCGAGTGGTTACCACAATTCTCATGTACTCCGAACGGATGGAAAGAGAAGTATTGCTAGGAATGAAGAGTTTCTGTCCCTATTGGAATTAAAATCGAGTGGGAAAAAAAAAAAAAAACCAAAGAATAGCAGTGACGGGAAAGAGAGCAAGAAGGAAAACGCAAAGAAGGGGAAAGCGAAGGGGGATGACGAAGACTTCGACGACGATGATGATAGCGGTGAGGGGCTGGATGCAGAAAAGGATGATGATTTTAACGACTTGAGTGATGAGGAAGGGGCGGAAAAAGAGGAGGATCTAAATGGAGAAGGGGCAGACGAGAACGAGGGCGACGATTTTGAGGAAGAGTTGGAAAAGAAGAAGGGGAAAAGCAAAGGGAAGAAAGAAAGCAGCGATAAAAGAGGAAGAAGCGGTGATGGAGAAGGAAGCGACACGAAACGGATGGAGGGAAAGGAACCATCTCATGAAGCTCCACCCGGGGGGAGCATCCCCAAGGGAGATGAGCTGCTAGTTCCCCCCGAAAAATTAGTGGAAACACCAACGGAAGTCGTAACGGAGAGTATCATCGACGATGCAGGGAAGGAGGATACAAATGGCAAGCATGGTCAGGATGGTCAGATTGGTCAGAGCGGTCAGATTGATCAGAAGGGTCAGCTTAGTCAGGACGGTCAGCTTAGTCAGGATGGTGAACTTCGTGAAGATGCCCAACTTGATCAAGATGTCCACGCCAACGCAGAAAATGATACACTCCCAGGAGACAGCCCCACAGGGGATGGCAACCTGGAGAGTCTTCCACACGAGCGGGACATATTAAAGCATAACTTTAAGAGCAGTGACCGTGGAGGCGATTACGACGAATGGGTAAGAGTAGAAACGAGCATTTGTGCCAATTTAAACGAAAGGCCAAACCCGTCCGTGCTATTGGAAGGGGCGTTAATTGCTGAAAAGGAGGCAGAATTGAGGAGCATTAAAAAGAAATATAACGTCACAGACAATGAAATTTGTGTTAAGCCTTCGAATGAACCCAATATTTCTTTCAGTCCTAAAAAAAATTTCTACCTGTTGGGGGAGAAAATAGAATTCAGGTGTAAAAATGGGTATAAGATCGTTGGGACAACGACTGTAGGGGTGTGTGTGGGAAGAAATAAAATCGTCCCCAACATAACTTGTGAGTCCTTAAACGATTTCGATGATGTTCAGAAGGAGAACATACAGAAGATCAATAGAATGATTAGCTCTGGGGTGAATTCAGCCTTGTCAGGTTTCCTAGCAATTGTCCTTTTCGTCGTCGGGGCTGTCCTCTCCCAGTGAGGTGTAGTCACTCACAATGAGATGTCCACCTGTGTGAACATATGAAGATGCCGTAATAGGGTGCAAATGCGTATGGGGTAAGGAGAAATTCTTATGCACATTTAGAGGGCGTTTTTCCCAAATGAGTTTGGAATTTTTGGGAGATGGCATTCTTAGCAGTTAACCCCTTTGAAGATATGGCCATCCACAGTATTGTGCGAAAGTGTTTCTATTTTGTAACCTCCCGTGGTATAATTGGGCAAGCCCATTTTGAAAAAAAAAAATGGTCTATGGTTATGCCTCCTTGTGTAGAAATGACATTTCCATCCGGGTGCAGCCATTCCACTTACAGTTCTGCGCTGTCCGCCGGGTCTATTTACGCGCTGAGCAAATTTTCTTCTTCGTTTTACCAATTTGATGTTTTCTTTTTTTTTGGTTTTTTGTTTTTTTTATTAGTTTTGTTTTTTCTTTTTCTTTTGTCTTTGTTTTTGTATTTAGTTTGTAGGGGTACTGGCTTGGCCGGTAATCCGAATAGCGATGCGCTCTCCATGATGTCTCCATCGTGGTGCCGCTTCATTTCGCGCATTTCACAAAACCGTTTTCGTTTTTAATATTTTACAAAATTCGTTGGACGCTTCATCCTTTTTTAGTTGTTATTTTTGGTCCTTAATTAATTTAGGCTTTCATTCACGTGTGTAGCGGTGTGCCGCGGTGTGCGCAGGTGGCTTGTCCGTCTTCGCCGTGTTGACCATCGTTGCCCCTTTTTTCACTCCATTTACGCCGTGCTGTCATTACATCTTTGAAATTACACTAATGAGGTGCTACACATGAATGCATTTATTACGAGAAAAAATATGAGATGGCATAAATAGTGATGGGAGGGTGGCCAAGGAACGACGCAAAAAGGGGTGTAATCTGACGTAATCGCGACCGCGATAAGACGTGTGTACATCGGGAACACGAAAGAAGGCACCGAACTGGGGGTACAAAAGGGTTATGTGATTTTTCCCCCCCACATGGCATTCCTTTTAACGACGCTCAGAATGGTTAATTTTCCCTACTGAATGTTCCCCTCCAACTTCAGCAAATGGGAAACTTATCATTTTCGAACTTTGTTCCCAGGGTTATGGACCCCTTTTTGACTTGTTCTTCTTTCAGCTCAACTTTATAATTCCCAGTGTTTTTATTATACACTGCCTGTATGATATTATTTTTAATGAAATCGTTAGCTTCGATTAATTGCTGCTTTATATCCTTCTCTTCCTTGGTTATCAGTTGCTCCCTGATCATATTTTTCACTCCAGTTAACACGCTCACTTTAGCCTCCACATCGGCGTTGAAGGTTTTATTGCAGGAGCGGATGACTTGTCTGTACAGGAACTTGCACGAGTTGCTCATTGTTTGTGAGGGGCGTTTTGCTAAGAAGCGTTTCGCTGAGATGCGTCTCGCGACGGTGTACCCTCCGCTAGGAATCGAGTCCGTCCCGAAATGTAAGCAGTGCTATGTGGACGATGTATATATTCACAGAGAGGTACATTTTTCACCTCGCCAGTGTTTCCCTTACGGTAAGAAGTGCACGGGCAAGGGCGGTAAACTTCTGCATTCACATGATCGCACTACTGGTTGTGTGCTGTCCTGCAAGTGCACATCGTCCATAATATGGCATTAATTTTTTCTCCCTCTTTTGTAGCACTTCAAAGTATTTTTGCAAAAACGGTAATTTTTAAAAATTTCCCTGGATGGTGGTCTCTTCGATTGCCGCTTTTCTAGACGTATTCTTCATTCAAAACGGTGTTTCCCTTACGTAGCATTTGGGAGCAAAAATAAAAGAACTTTTGGCTTGCATAATTCGGGGAATTTTTTTTTTTTTTTTTTCCGAAAAAGTCCATTTTTTTACCATCCCTGTTCAGGTAAACAGAGACCAGGTGAAAAATGGCTATTCGGCCAATTTGCTAATTATGTACGTATACGTGTGCGACTTCCATATTCACAGGGAAACAGGTAGTTTTTAATCCAATTTTTGGCTCCAAAAATATGGGCTCCTGCCACAATTATGTGGTTATCATATGTTCGTTTATTTGTTGAAGATTTCTTTTTGTGTGACGTTTACATTGGTACGGAGTTCACGTCGGTGAGATATTCTTTTTCTTTTTTTTTTTTCCCAGTAGTTGTCGTGATGGAATTACTTTTTGTAGGATAAAAAAGAATTTTCCCTTTGTTAGAAGCAGGCATAACTCACTACGGAAGTTTTAACTTTTCCAAAATTGTCAAAATGTGAAAAGAACAAATGGTACCTCTTCGAAGTTTACTTTGGTTGAAATGTGGGGGGAAAGATTGACGTGAACATATGCTTTCCTCCCCAAGCAAAATAGAGAATTACTCATAACATTCAATAAAGCGGCAGAAGGTTACAACACAATGCATTAGCAGAGCAAAATGTACCTGCTTTTAAGGTTAATTTTTTCCCGCTTTATTTTTTTTTAAATGTATATATTTACCATTGCGATATGTTGAATTTTTGATGCGAAGAGGGGGGCGCATTTGCAAAGGGAGCCAGAATTGCAATTCCTCCAACGGTGTACCATCAGCTTAAAAAATAAATAACCTTTAATGTGTAAAAAGGAACAGCTTATAAAAATGGACATAACTGAACAACACATTTGAAACACATTGCCTGAATTTTCCGCACACCTCTTTCTTCGCGTAAAAGTAAGACAAATGTGACGATGTTAAATTGAAGAGAGGAAATTTCCTTAGGTAAAATTCTTACCAAATGTTTACACCTCTGGGTAAAAAACGAACCGGTGTGTTTACTTGAAAATGAGCAAAAGGGGAGTACAATATCCTTTGCAAAAGAAGAAAAAAAAAATCCTTTTTAAAAATTACACGATTGGTTAATTTCTCTTCTTTTAGGCGATCAAAATGTGCAACTGGAAGGAAAAGCTTCCCACACAGGTTGCCTTCATGCGCGGAGCTTTCAAGTGCACAAGGTGAGGCCCAATGCTTTGTGGGCATATATGTGGTCCCTCAAAGTTACACAATTGAGGGGTTTGGGCTTTTACATGGGAATGCGACAGTTTGCTTTACGCTTAATGACAGCGCGTGCGATGATCACCACTTTGCCAAATTTTGACACTGATTTATGCATCCACATATGTCCGCATGCAGACTATCCCGCATGTACGCACTGGTACGGGTATTATACATCCACCAAAGGACATGTGCTCATATGCCAGCGCATGTGCTTTTGCACGTGTGTACATTTTGGACTAGTTTCTTTTCACAGATTCCTACCTATTGGCACGTCTGCTCAGTTTCGCGTTAGACGTATGGGTATGATCCTTCCGGTGTGGAGGAGCTGGCACAAAGGGGCGCGCACGTAAATGCAAGTTGATGCAAGCGAATGCAAGAAAATGCAAATAAATCTACTTAGTGAACCCTGTGAGTGTTTACTCCCCATCTGTTAAATATCTACAAAGGTTTGATGTTTCCAAATAGGCGCAGTGGAGGGACAACACAACGCGCTCCATATGGCATCCATGTAGTGGCCAAGAAAAGAAGAAAAAAAGCAGAAATCACCTGATGGTGATGCTCACTTTGGAGTAAATGCAAAGGTATGTGTGGTAAGAGGTAATCAAGTAGAACTGGCATACTGCGCGCACATTCGTTGGCATGGAAGAGAAAAGGAGCAAGTAAAACAGGGGAAAAAGAAAAAAAAAACAAGCAAGCGCAAATGCAGATAGGAAGCAGATCCCGCGCTGAATAAAAAGCGGTGTGTGGAACTTACACATGCACGCCCAGTTCATGTGCCCTCCAACATATCGTACAATGGCCCCCACGGGCCCGCGATACAGGAACGTATAACAATATGTGATATATTATATATAATATATACATCCCAGCGCATGTATAGCCCCGCACGCATACACACAAATATATATTTCCACAAGCTTTTGTGCCAATTTATCACCCCTTCCTTTGTTTAACACGCATAAGCAATAGTCACATGTTTTATTTTTTATTTTTTTTAAGGGGAAAAGCATAGTCTACTGGTGACAGAAGGGAGTGGTTACTTTTAACGGCAAAGATTTGGCAAATTCGGTTTCTTTTTTGCAAAAAAATTGTAACATATTCGCAAAGTTTTTTTTTTTTATTCATTTCTGCGTGAGGAGATAAACGCAGATATTTAAAAAGAAAAAAGAAAAAAAAAAGGGGGAAAAAAGGTGGAAAAACGTGGAAAAACCAGAAAAAAAAAATAAAATAAATGAATGAATAAAATAAGCTCACGTACCCCCTGCGAATGATTACGCGAGCTTTGGTTGTTGAGTTAAAATTTTGAGCTCATGCCCACGACATGATGCCTGCAACCTTGCGAGACCCGCGTCAACGAGTGCGTAACTGTGTATAAATACATATAAGCGTTTGCAATACTGTACAAATATGAAACTGCAAAACAATATGCTTATTTACTGGTACTTGCATACATACAACCCACGTATATAATTTTTTCGTTTTGTTACTTTGCCATTTTTTCCTGACCGAACGGCCTTTAATTTAAACACAGATTTATTGCCTGTGCATGTGACCAATTTCAATGTAAGACAACTGCGCCTTCATTCGCGTCTTCGTCTGACAGATGCCTCCGGAGCTGCTGTGCAATTTCGCCGCGCCATTCCACAACCCAACTGAGAACAATTGACGAATAAAAAGATCAACCTTTTGATGAATTTTTTGTTCGCCGAGGGGAAAAGTCTGCGGGGCCACGTGTGCAACGATTTATGTGCGTGCGCAAATAGACTCATATGCAAATCGACTCATGCTCTAAGAGACTCATGTGCAAATCGAATGATGTGCAAACCACCCTGTGTGGACACCTGCGTGTTTATGTGCTCCCCCTTCTGTGAAAACGTGAGGACAGAATGTTCCGCTGAGGACGCGTTTTTTAGCGGTGCTGCATAGATAGGGCTACACCGCGGGTAACCTCGAAGGGTCACGCACGCATACACGCACACACACCGGGTGCCACGGAAATACATGTGAATGGGTGAAGAGGCTTACGCCACCGCTTCGCATGACACCATACACACAGAGCGAACAACTGTGAGCCCCCTTCTTGGCCATTTCCGCGGAGTTAAAAAAAAAAAAAAAATTCTTAAATGAATTCTGCTAACAATGCCATCTTTTATGGCGACAAGAATTCAGTGCACTACAACGATCTGAGCGAAAGTGCTGCAGACAGGTGTCTGAAAAATGGAGGCATGCAAAACGATTATATAACGAGCAATGATGTGACAAGTGAGGGAGTCGATATCGCAGTGGATCCCGGGGAAAATGGGGCTGGAAATTCGGCATACCTACATACACCTCACCACCAGCACTTAGCACCAAACCGGGGGGAGGGAAAAAAGAAACAGCACGAAAAAACAGAAAGAGACAAATATGACCGAATTGAAGAAATCGAAAAATACCTAAATATTAACAACGCCACGAATGTTTGTTCACTGAGAATTAAATTATGGGAAGCACTAATGCTGTATGTAAACAATGTAAACGCAGAGCTGATTTACTTCATAATAAATTGTCTCATGGAAGTGGAAGTGTACTGGGGGGAAGAAGCAACCAACAATTTACAAGACATTTTAAACCTAATAAATGATAAAAAATATAAAGAAGTGTCAAATAAAATCGGAGAAACATTGTCCAGTTTGTCCGTAACGACAGGAAAAGCGACCGAAGAAAATCCTTTTTTTTACACACTCATAGTTTCCTCTAGCAGAGATGAAAACAGCAATAACTACAACTCCGATTTGGCATGCGAACTGAACAAGATTCTGCATTATGAGAATAACAGACTGTCCAACCAAAATAATAACAAAAAATTGGAATACAAAATTATCGAGGTGAGTAACGCGAAGGAGGCTCTCCTAGCTTGCTTAATAAACTCGCAGATTTTGTCTGTTGTTCTGGTGGACAATTTATCCATTGATGAGGAATACAAGAGGGAAAGGTTTGAGTTTTATAACTTCAGTGCGGAGAAGTCCATGAACAACAAGTGCGGGGCAGTGTCTCCCTATGGGCTGAAGTGCGGCATTGTGAACGGCGGCGCCCAGATGAAGCCCCCCTTCACGCACAGCGTGCATAACGGCTCTTCCTTCAACAGCAGAGATGCCATGCGGAACATGATTCTGTCCAACTATCGTGGCTCCAACGGTAACAATGGGAGCGTCTGCAATAATTACTGCGGCGGGAATGGTCACTGTGGGAATGCCCACTGCGCGAACAACCCTAACAGCAGCCGAAGCACTGTGATCAATGAGCACAAGAAGGGAGGAGCGAACTTGCTTATGAAGGACTACAAATTCGATATAGGGAACTTCGTGCTGGGGTACGAACAACTGGTGGCTGCGCCGTTGGAGAAGATGAAGAAGGGGTTTAACAGCCTAGTGATCCTGATTAAGAGCATCGCGTATATTAGAAGCTCCGTGGACATTTTTTGCGTGTGCACTTCCATCACGCTGGATAAGCTACAATCTGTGAATAACAAAATAATTAGGATTTTCACCACACATGATGACCACAGCGATTTGCACGAATCCATCCTGGATGGAGTAAAAAAGAAGATAAAGACGCCCTTTTTTAACGCCTTGAAAGCGTATGCCGAAAGGCCCATTGGGGTCTTTCACGCACTAGCCATTAGCAAAGGGAACAGTGTGAGAAGAAGCAGATGGATACAATCGCTCCTTGATTTTTATGGTGTAAATTTATTTAAAGCGGAATCTAGTGCCACCTGTGGAGGGCTAGACTCTCTACTAGACCCACATGGGTCATTAAAAGAAGCACAGATAATGGCTGCACGGGCGTACGGGAGCAAGTACTGTTTTTTCGTCACAAATGGAACGTCCAGTTCGAATAAAATAGTGATGCAGGCATTGGTGAAGCCGGGAGATGTGATCCTAGTGGATAGAGCTTGCCACAAATCGCATCATTATGGATTTGTTCTAAGTCAAGCCCTACCATGCTACTTAGATCCCTACCCCGTGTCGAGATACGGAATATACGGTGCAGTACCGATATATGTAATTAAGAAGACGCTTCTAGAATATAGAAATAGTAACAAGCTACACTTGGTTAAATTGATAATTTTGACCAACTGCACCTTCGACGGAATTGTGTATAACGTGAAAAGGGTCATAGAGGAATGCCTAGCCATCAAGCCTGATTTAATTTTCCTGTTTGACGAAGCATGGTTTGCTTACGCATGTTTTCATCCCATACTGAAGTTCAGGACGGCTATGACCGTTGCGGATAAAATGAGGAATCAAGAGCAGAAGAGGATTTATAACAAGGTGCATAAGAAGCTGCTGAGGAAGTTTGGGAATATAAAGAGCTTAAACGAGGTATCAGCGGAGAAGCTTCTAAAAACGAGGTTGTATCCGAACCCGTCTGAATACAAAGTGAGGGTATATGCCACGCAGTCCATTCATAAATCGTTGACGTCTCTCCGACAAGGCAGTGTCATTCTGATCAGCGACGATAACTTCGAGTCACATGCCTACACCCCGTTTAAGGAAGCATACTACACCCATATGTCGACCTCGCCAAATTATCAAATATTGGCCACGTTAGATGCGGGGAGAGCTCAAATGGAATTGGAAGGATATGGCCTAGTAGAGAAGCAAGTGGAAGCAGCTTTCCTCATTAGAAAGGAACTAAGTGAGGATCCTATGATTTCTCGATATTTCCGAACCCTCAATGCGGAGGATTTAATACCAGATAGTTTAAGACAGTGTCATAATTTGTACATGAAACGGAAGAAGAATTGTACCAAGGAGGGTTATTCTACCGACTCGAAAGGGAGTGTTAATGGGACGTATTCCTGTGTGTCAAACAATCAGGGTAGGGGAAGCATCACTACAAAGGAGCAGCGTCCCAGAGCACTGCGCAGGGGGAAGAAAGGTGGAAGCGTTACAAAATATGAGCAGCGAATACAGAGTAGCAACATATCGTCTCACGAATGTGTGAATGAGACCAATGGGTGCTCCAATCATGTTGTGCGCAATTCGCTCATGTTGGGAGATTCCACCAATAACAATAGCGCGGCGGAGGGGGGCCTAAACGACTTTGGTAATAATGACCCCCGTGGGAGTGTAAAAATGAGCAGACGAAAAAGCCGCAGAGATGAGCGAAACGGAAAGGAGGGCGGAACCTCTGGAACGATAGACGACAGCAACAACGGAAGCATCATCCTGAACAGCGAAAATGAAAATCTAAGCTTTATACAAGATAGGCATAATAGACATTATAGCAGTTCCTCCTACTCAACGGGCATGAAAAATTTTTTGGAATACTTCGAGTGCTCCTGGTTGAGCGAAGATGAATTTGTGTTGGACCCCACAAGGATTACTCTCTTCACTGGGTACTCAGGAATAGATGGAGATACCTTTAAGGTGAAGTGGCTAATGGATAAGTACGGCATCCAGATAAATAAGACGTCCATAAATAGTGTCCTCTTCCAAACGAATATCGGGACGACCGGTTCCTCTTGTCTCTTCTTGAGAAGTTGTCTGTCGCTAATATCGCAGGAGCTCGACCAAAAGAAGAATCTCTTTAATGAGAGAGACCTAAACCAGTTTAACGACAGTGTGTACAATTTAGTTTCCAATTACATCGACTTGTCTGAGTTTAGTGAATTCCACCCCTTGTTCAAGAAAAGATATTCTGACTCGAGAGTATTCAATAGGGAAGGAGATTTGAGGATGGCTTTCTACTTAGCGTATGAGGAAGATTACGTGGAATATATTTTAATGGCTGACTTGAAAGAACGAGTAAGACAAAGTGAGTTGATCGTGTCGGCTAGTTTCATCATTCCATACCCTCCAGGGTTCCCCGTGCTGGTACCAGGACAGTTGGTAAGCCAAGAAATCGTGGACTACCTCTCAGGTCTTAGTGTTAAAGAGATACATGGTTATGATGAGAGCATAGGATTCAGATGCTTCTACAATTTTATCCTAGAATATTTTTACAACCTGGTAACTTCCGACCCCTATGGCTACTACCACAAGATGGATAAGGAAACCTATGAAAGATTGAAGTATGCCAATTTGAGCAAACGAAGGAACATGGATAGTTCGTATCACCTCTATATATACGACAATGAAACGAGCAGGATGAAGAAGATGCATGTGTGTAATGGCAGCTTCTCGATTGAAAATAATGCTGCCATTAGTGATACTTATGAGGATCTTGTACAGGTGCACAATCTGAGGAGTGACCACGGAAAGGGTAACCACCATCACCTGCACGTTGGTGCGTACGACGGTGTAAACAACAATTCGATGTCCAGCATTCCAAACTTGCCGCAGGCAGCGGCAGTGGGGGACGGCGCGGTGAAAGGCCCGAATGGAAGCGCCAAAGGTGGAAGTGCGAAGGGTGGAAACGAGGGAGGTGTTGTCCGGACGTCGGATGGCACCTCCAACAGCGCAGGTGTTAGCAGCTACGCTAGAAGGGGAAGCAGGGAGGAGGGGTTCCAGGGTGTAAGCGGAATGAACAATGAGAAGACCATTTTCAACCCCACGGTTGGCAGTTTGTCCGAGAGCAGCTTCGTCAAGTCGCGGGGAAAAGAATCATCTCATGGGAGGGAAGCGACCCGCGCTGACCAGAGACTGACGAACATCTACTACCACCTCTCAAACGATATGATGAAGTACGACCAGAATAGTTCTCTCGTTAGTAAAATAAAAGAAAATGTGTTAATTGTTCGGGGCAGGAAAGCCTACACCCGTTGCGGAAGTGGCAGGAGCTCGGCCAATTATCGCTATCGGGATGATCCCTCCCCATCAGTGCCCAAGCACAAGAAGGGGAAGAAGTGCAGGGGGTGTAAATCTTGCGGTGGAGGGAGGAGCAGCCAGACGGAGCTTGTCAAGCGAAGGGGCCAAGCGGATTGCATCCCCCACAAGAGAGAAGACACAGATGACTTCGCGAGTGAAGGCAGGAACGAGGACCATATGCACGGCAGGGGAAGACAACTCCAAAGAGGAGCTTCGAATGGTAGAGTTACGAAGAAGGGGAAAAAGAAGAATTCCGCCAAAAGGGCATCATCAGGCCGGGATATAGCCGCTGTGGAGAGGGAGGCAAGTAATGCGGAAGAGATTGGCGAAGAGAATGCGGATGATAATACCAACAGCGATGGCGACACGACTATGCCCGACGAGGACGGTGAGAGCACCTCGGCAGCAGAGGAAATAAGGCAGGGTGGCAAGGCTCAAAACGTGGGAATAGACAGTGGAAGTTACAACGCGAAGAAGAAAGGCGGTAAATGGGGAAAGGGGCTACAACAAAAGGGTACCCGTAACCGTGACCGTAACCGAAACTGCCATCGCGACTGTAACCGCCGCACTGATGACAGCAGCAACGCACAGAGTGACGTCACGGTGAACACTTTCAACCAGGCGAATTCCATGTCGGATATGCACTGCGTGAGGAAGGCGACAGAAAATGATAGAAGTGAAGACGACAGGTATAAGGAGGATGGGGGTGGTCGTGGCCTCATTCCAAAGATCAGGCAGTCGAACCCTGTTATGTGCAATCAGTTAGGGAAAAGTGAGTTGAGCATGAAGATGCAGAGAAAGCGTCCATCGGGTGTAAGTCACTCGAACAGGCCCCTCAGTTATCCGGACACTAAAGACTATTCGTACTGCTCCGGTTCGAGCAAGAAGGGGAATGAACTGGAAGGAGCGGGGGGTAGCAGTAAAAGGGACAATAATAACGCGGGAGTTGCGAGAGGAAGGGGCAATGGCTCTAGCGCGCAAGGCAGCGGTATGGCCTCCTCGGAGAATTACCAATCCAGCGAGAGCCTAAACAAAAGGAGAACCCACAGCCACGCCAGCGGGAAGAGTTCCAGTGGGCTCAGCGGGAGTGAAAAGGCCAACGATAATACTACTCGGTCTGGGGAAAAAAATGAGAAAAAAAATGACCAAGAGGTGCACAAAGTGAAGGAAATGAACAGTCGAAATGAGTCGGAGAAGAATGGCTCAAATGAAATAGCACTCTTAAAAAGAGAAATTTTTATTAGTGAGGAAGACATAGACAAGATAAGCGTGGACGACCAAACTGGTGGTGACAACTTCTCGAAGAACAGACTCACTCCGGAGATTCACCTACCACGTAGCAGCGACATCATTAGTGGTGGTGACGACGTCAGTGGCAGTGCAAGGAGAGCAGGAAGCCGAGTTGATGCCCGTATACACGTGAATGGAAATGATGCCAATAATGGAACCCCAAACACGCAGGGAAAAGGTGAAGTAGCCTTTTGTGGAAATGAGTTTCACTATGATGAAGAACACCTGAAGCTAAATTCTGCAGATAGAGAAAACAACGAATTGGAGAAGAACTGCATGAGGAAGTTAAACTCGCTTAACAATAATAGCTACATAAATAATTTGATAACACATGTGGACGATGACACGTTTATTCATAAGGAGGGTAATTTCTTCCTGGAGTGTGCCCTGACCAATTCCGAAATGAACGGCAGTTCCTTCGAAATGGAAATGTCCCTGAATAATGTGTATTCTAATGGTGGCGAGGGGGGCAGGCACCCCGGGAGCTACGACGGAGGAAAGAACAGCGACTTTGAGTAGGTACAGTGTGAGTGTAGGTAAAGGAGGGGAGCGTTCATGGCGACGCGAGGTATTATCCATACTCGGGATGCGCATGTCCTTTCGTCAAGACGTTGCCTCTGTAACTTCATGTGACTCTGTGACTCTATGTCTCTGTGCCTGTGTGTGTGTGTCTACCCTTTTTAGTAGCATAAGCGGAATTGTCACGCCTTCTCATTTGTGACGAAAAAAAAAAAATTTCCCTTGTTTTTTCGCATTTTTATATCACGATTTTTCCCTTTTGTAAAAACGTACGTGGATGAAAAGAAAGGTGACCAGAAGACAGTACTGCATGGTAAATATGGAATTTCGACAATATTGTTCGCGGGCCGGCAGGCCAAACTTGGACACAATTGCTTTCGTAAACTCTTTGTTTTTTTTTCCTATTCATTTTTTAAATTAACTTAATGGTAACGTAATGATGTATAGTTTTTTTTCTTTACATAAAAAAAATTATTATTGTTCAAAAAAAAAAAGGGATAATCCTTAAGTGGGGAGTTATACATAAGAGTAATCCAAACAGTTGCACGCCGTCTACCTGCGTCTGTAACTGAGGTAGGTGTTAAAGTAGTGGGACACCTGCGAGGGGTACAAGGGGGTTGAAAAGGAAAGTCTGATGAGTGTTCATGGGTACCCTAGGGCGCATAGCCTAACGGGTTTAAACTTCGCATCATCGGGGTGTATTCCCCTCGGTATTTACCTTGTTGAATATGTTCAGAAGGGAATTGGGGACCATGGGGTGCGACAAGCACTGCCTGATCATTTCTGGGGGGGAAACGGAGGGGAAATGGGCATTAAAATGGGCGTTAAGGTGGGCAGTTAAATGTGTGACTACCCTGGGCGTCGGGGAAAGATGTTAAAAAGCCGCGCCTTGCCATATATACACATTCCGAAACCGGGATGGACAGGCGTACCTCCATTCTTCGCGTAGCAGGCGTGGAAATACGAATCCGAGGAGCTATACCTAAGTAGGATAGGAGAAGAATATTTTTTTTTAAGATGGCCGTTTGGCAAGAATGACAAAATGAAAGACATTTTTATCCTTCCTCCCTGGTGGGTTCTCCTCTTTATTTGAAAATCGATTGGCCTTACTTGAGCTTGAAGAAGTGGAGGTAAATGATTAAATTCAGGAGACTAACTCTTTTCAGGAAGAGACAAATGATTATGAAAACTAAATTGTAGATTTCGATGTTGGCTCGCATCATGTAGACATTCAGGATCTGCTCAAGGGGGGGGAAGGAGGAGGGAAGAAGTAGAAGATATGGAGCAAGATGAAAATGGGTGAGAGCAGAGAAAGGCCAGACAAATGACACTTCTCAAAGGAGTTTCCTTCTTCGAAAGTAGCTCATCGTCGCATTTGGTTGGTACCACATCTAGCGGCACACAAACATATCTTTACCGTATGATCCAAGTAGGACACAATTTTGTTAAGATGGTGATTCCTGTGAGCAGGGTGCCAAAGGGAAAAATAATGTGGCCAGAATGGTTAATTGTAAAAAGACATGTCACCATGTCGCGCTGCTGTGCCTCTGCGCGCATCTGTGAGCATCTATTCCCTGCTTGCACGGTACACATTACCTTTGAATTGCGGGGGGGAAATGGGACTTAATTTGTTTATACATTAAGTACGAACTAATTAAGAGGGTAAAAAAAATTGGCAAAAATATCAGCACGGCGTCTTTGATGAAAAACAATATCATGGAGTAGGACAAGTACTGGCCTAAAAAAAAAAAGGAAACACAGAATGGATAGAGGGGCGGAGGGACAACACTTTTGATTAAATTGGGGGGAAGCTACGTGATAATGATAAGAAATTATTTTTTCCCACGTGGTGTCCTCTTTTGGGCCCATTTCTGACTGCGTCTATAGCCGTACCCTTTTCGCTCGAGAAGAACTGCACGAGGGAAAAATTGTGCCTCTGCGTCTTGTAGTCCGTGTATAGCAAACTCAGGAAGGCGCAGAAGTAGGACAGACTCATGAAGGTGCCCATTTTCTGCGGAGGGGGGTTGGGGAAGCGGAGGTGAAGGTGGTTGCAACGACGGGACAATGCAACGACAGCGCAATGCAACGATGAGATTACTACCGCGTCGCTGCTACCTTCCCTACCTTGTACAAACTCAAATTCAGGGACAGCAACACAAAGTAAAAGAGACTGACGCATAGGACGAACGCGCTGAAGAAAAACGTCACCAGGGGAACGTGCCCGCCGTAAGTGTAACCCTTGTTGCCGTGCGCTTGGAAATTGGGGGGCTGCGGCGTTTCCTCCTTAACGGCTTCAGTCCCAAAACTGGCATTCACATCGAGGTTCTTGTCGACATTCTTCTGAAAATATTTCTTCTTGTATTTCTCGATATTGTGTATAGATGGGAAGGGATATAAATTGCTTAAGTAGAGTTTCCATTTTTTGTCGTTTACCCAGTCGTGATCTGAGCAAAGGGAGTGGGCAATGCGGGTGTGTGCAGAGTAGGAAAGTGGGTAGTGATACCCATAGTGCCTGCGCGTCTCGCATGTGTCATCACCCCCCCAACAGACACATATACGTGTGCATATATGCTCATGCGGAAGGGAAGCAGACTGCTTTGTCACAGTTTATATTGAAGCAAAAAAATATTACTGAGAAACTTCTGTTCCGCCTCGGTTAAGGTTTTCATCTTCCCTTGAACAATGGATTTATGTATGACAGCACAGGGGAGACTCGAAACAATTTGACCAATTTTATTTTTAACTCGTTAAAGGTTCGCAATTTCGATGCGATATTGCAGCATAAAGGCAAAAAAAAATTATGGCTTTAAAAAATTGGGAAAATTGTATATCCTTGGTAACAGAGCCATGATTAAAAGGGGGTACTTTCATGCAATGCGGTCCTGTTAATTAGGGTTTTCCTTTCTTTTTAATTCCAGTGTGAAAGCGCTTTGTTATGCGTTTTTTTTCTCATTTTGTGAATTTTATCGCAAGTTGGGCATGCTCATTATTGTGAACAGGAAGAAGTGGGTAGGAATGGGAACTTTCCTTTCGACGGAAAAAAAAAAAAAAAAAAAAAAAGATCTACCGCTGACCCGCCGAAGCCACGAGAATGCGGGAAAAAAATAAATAAATAATAAATAAAGCAAAGGCGACAACACCTTACCCGTTGTATTAACCGACAAAACGGAGTGAGAGAACCCTATGGAGGTAGAAAAAGTCACCCCAACTTAGTTTTTACAGTGAACCATTTTTAGAGAAGGAGATTCTCCAAATGAGCAACATCCTTTGAGGCAACCCCCGAAAGCTGAAGCGAACGCCATTAGAACCGTGTCATCCATCCCTTTGGTAGTTTGCTCTTTCCCTGGTTGACGATGCTTCGTTACATTTGCCATTTGAAAACTTCCTGCGAGCGCCTTTTCCCAGCAACGGTCAGTAATGACCAACTGCTAACCAGGGCTAGGAGAAAGAATTCAATACCCCTCTCTACCATGAGTATGTAATGGATGCTCTTATGTATCCTCACCGAGCGTACTGTTCCGTTAGTTTCCCCAGCGTCACCACAAGGAAGAGGCTTGATGCCCTCCATGAGCTAATGTCAATCCCAGTACCCCAAAATGAATGAGCGAATTATAAAAGAAAAATTAAAAGCTTCAGTTAATCACCTGAACAAGAGGAGGCTAAAGTTTGAACTGAAAATATTCCCCATGAAAAAAACGGTGTACGAAATTTTTAACATTTTTTCCAAAGAGTTAAAAAGAAAGTTGAGGCAGACTTTGATGGAGTTAAAGAACAGGAAGAGGAAGTGTGACGTCTGTTCGGCGCAAATTGATGTCTTCACTCCGTTTCTTGCTTATGAGATTGACGTGAACAATACGACGTTTCTGTTTCGCAGGATAGAGGTTCGTGTGACGCAGAGGCGGGGCAAGTGAAAAAAGGAGAACATGGAATTATTACTTCCGCTTCGGCATCTGGGCGATTGCATATGCCCAGTTTGTGTGACCCCTACCGTGTGGAGGGGGTATACCCATAATAGGCACCTCACAAATGAGTTGCACGTCGCAAAAGAGTTGCACTTCTCAAATGAGGTGCAGTTCACATGCCGTTAACGCGCACACCTCGTACACGTTTCTCCCCCCCCTTCCTTTTAGGCCTACTGCTCCAAATGCCTTGAAATAAAAAACTTCACCCAGTTTTCCCGCCAGCTTTACCAAAATGTAGACGCCGGGGAGCTCCTCAACTTTGCCCCCATATACGAGCATTACTATCAGGTGAACAATTTGGAGATGCATCAGAAGAATATTCTCCAAAATGACATAAACAACTACTTCTGCGTCTCCGTGTTGGCGAAGAACTTAAGGTGGACGTGCTCCACGCCGCACAGTACCTTCGATGAATTTTTAGAGTTTTCACTACGCAGTATAGAGGAAGAAGAGGAAATCACCGTGAACGAAGATGTGTCGAAGAAGAGAAAAACGGAAGAGCCAGCAGTAGCCGATATTTTAAACAACACCAAAAGGAAGAAGGTTCTCAGCACTTAGAGTGCGGAGAGGGGGACTAAAAATAACTGAAGTAAAAACGGAGGGCACACCTAAGTGTTTTTTTTTTTTTTTTTTCCATCATTGAATTAGCGGCAGGAACTCCTGGCAGGGAAGTGACTCACTTGTCCAAGCCTTCCCGAAGAGGTACCATGTTAACAGCCCATCTGCGCAGGGTTCGCAAAAGAAGGGCGTACCCATAGGAGAATAATTTTGCTGCCTTTATGGCAATCCTTTTGCAAGTTTCATTGTTTGGATCATTCATTTATTTATTTTTTATATGATTTTTTTTTCTGCTAGTTTGCATTTATTTGCATTGTCCCATTGGGGGGGATAGCGGCTAAGTGTACGTCCCCGCCTCATTTGAAATTCATAACCTTTTTCTAATTAGTTAGACGACAGGAGGGGAAGCTCCTTTAATTGGGTCTCGCTGTAGAGACTACCCTATTTTTGGCTGTATTTTTTTTTTTTTGGCGAAGTTGTAATAAAAAGGGGGTGGGTAAAAATGGGGCAGCAACACAGGCAGGGGAAACCACCTTGCGTACATAAACATATAATATACAAGGTGCATACAAAAATGATGAGTAGGAGGGCACCACGTTAGGATGTGGGAAAAATATGCCCCTTTTTTGCACAGGCTGTCCCTCAAATGAACGACGTCTCGACGTCCGCCTCATCCCCGTCGTGCTGGTCAAGCAGGGAAAACTGGAGAAAGTGGTTGGGCCTGTGTATGTCGGAGTAAAAGGGTTGCGGCATGTCTAACAGCGCGGAATATTTCTGATTATTGTTAAATTTGATACCCATCAGATTGTAGTTCCATATGTTATCATCAGGGATTAGAAAGAAACCAACAAAGACATTGGATAGTAGAATCTGAACTTGTTCATACAGATTAGTGGCATTCGGATAGGCATACAGATCAGCTGAATTTTGTTTGCTCTTGGCAAATATGTATCCATCATCAGTTAATTTGTAAGCATTGATGGTACAGCTACCAGGAGTGAATGAACATGTAAGAATAATCGTGTTGTTTTTGTCCCATATTTTGGAGAAGTCTCCACTGTCGTCATTCGCATTATCCTCAGCTGTGATGTCGTCATCGGAGTAGATTCCCCCTGTTCCATCTGCTTTTCTCTTCTTCCTGACTTTACACTCTTGCAGAAATGACAAATGTGCAACCATGTCGTACGTCGTTAAGTGGTTGGACGTGTTGGAGCAGTTGGTCGTCTGGGTGTGAATCCATCCGAGGAGTTCTAAATTGTCCAGATATTTACTCGAGGGCAAATAATTTGAAAGCGTAACAGATTGGTAGTTTCCAATTTGGGGGGGAATAAGAATGCATTTGATTTCCTTCACATAGGAGTTATCAGGTGGTGAGGAACCATACAAGAAGCCTCCAATTTGTATTTTCAAATCGGAAATGCAAATGAATTTTTCAAGTAAATTTTTGGCAATGACGTAAGTGTAATCGTTGATGGAGCTGATGGTATTCACGCCGCTGTTTCCTCCTTCTTGAGTTACACTCTTTAACGAACTATTATTGACATAAATATTTTTGGTTCTAAAGAGTAGGGAGTTGTTCGCAAGGTATCGGATTTTCCAATCCGTCTTTGTTGTGAATGTCTGCTGTTCATGAGGGGATAATGTTGAGACGATCATTTCAGTTCCATGCTTCGTGGTCGTCTTGGACGTCGTAACCTTCATTTGTTGTTCTATATTATCTAAATTGCTCTTTTCCAGTTCTGCAATTTGCTGTCTCTGTATAGATGGCGGGGTTATTTCCATACCTAGCAGGATGTCCCTTATTTCGTTCTGAGTTAGCGAGGCGATGTGTACATTGTTTCTCTTCGCATAGTCGTTAAGAATTAGATCTTTCAGTTGGACTTCTAAATTAATCCACTGGTTATTGTTGAAAGAGGGCCAGATATGATGTGGCTGCGTTACTATGTTCTTATTCGGTTGCAAGAGAATTTTCGTCTGCTGCGGGTTTATGTGTAAACTTCTAAGTATCAGGATTAGCCTACTAAATGCGGTGAAGGACGAAATTGTGTTTAGCCAATCGTCATACAAATTGAATAGAAGCATTTGTGGCTGGGTTGCCTTTAATATGAGGTCTCCTATTTTGTTCAGCTTTAGTAAGGCTTGAAATGGGAGATTCAACTCTGTTCCTTTGATTATAATATTGGGGAAGTCTAGCAAGTGGACTTCCAACGGATCTAGCATTCCTTTCCTTGTTACGATAATTTGTTTTGGTTGTTCTTCTATAGGGAGAGATCTAATTAAGGAGGCCACTTCCTCTGCTGTCTTCCATTTGGCTAGCTGAGATAACCGCTTCTGTCCAATCCATACAGACGTGTGGATAATTTTTAAAAAGAGCTGTCCTGTCTTGGGGTTCAAAATGAAGATGGCGCCATTAATCGGCTTCGTAGTAAGATTGCCTTCAAAGGTCTTATGGATGGTAACTCGATAAACGTTGGTGTCATCAACAAACCAGATGGTCTGCGAAGAAAAAAGCTCATTGTAATTCTGAGTATTCAGGTACGGTTCTGTTGGTTCAGAGGAGTATAGTTGAAGCCCCTTTCTGATTCTTTCCCTCAGTACATAGAGAGACGGATTCGACTGAATAATTTTCTGCAGCGCTTTCTGCATCAACGGTTTGAGATTGTTAAACCAGTTGCCATACGCAGAGTATAGGTTATATGCCAAATCCACTCCTATTAGGACCCCCGTGAGGCAAGGGTATATGGACAAATTGTCTGTGGTGTAATCTAGGAACTTGGCTCGGCTGTACCTCTCAATGTCATGGGAATCGAAGTCTCCCCATCGGAGCTGAATGTCAATCCAGTACTGGTTGGACGTGTAAGGATAAGACCCCAGGGCTATCGAACTGTTCGATTTAATTTCCAAATTGTTCAGAAAAATGTTATCCTCATCTGAGAGTAGAGACGGTTTGGAAATGCCCCATTTGTAATTGGCAAAGAGGAGAATGTCCGCACAGGAGCTATTCATTTTATAGGACTTCCTCGGGTGGATGGTCTCCTTCTGCACCGTTTCGATTTCGAGAAGGTCCGAATTCAAATCGAACACTTGACATATGTCCATAACTAGCGATTCGTGAATCTTCTGCCACAGATGTGCTCTAAATATCTGGATCAGCGATATTTTCAGGGTGGGAATTTTGCCATGCATAAATATACCTGTTAGGTCTAACTGCACTTGGAACCCTACGTATACATTTGCACGATTGATTGTTGGGGACCACCACAGGGTAAATCTTCTGTTGGGAATTTGATTCAGTCCACTTCTCTGCGCATTAGTTAACTTCTTATATTTCATAGATTCTTCAAACCCGCTGGCTTTCTCCCAAAATAATCCTTCCCATGTGGGGAAGAAGGTTCCTTTAAATAGCGTATGCTCTAGTATCCCTTCAACCCCTCCCAGGGCTTGAATCATGTCTGTTCGATAGTTACTCAGATTCCACAGCTTTCCATCGTGTCTCTGATTGGTCCACCAGAAGGGGTTACTCTTAATAAGTTGATACTGCTTAAATAGCTGCCTTATTCTCCACCCCTTGTCGTATGCCAAAGTGTGTCTGTCTTTCTGAAACAGAGTGTTAATTCGGGGGATACCTTTGTCCCAAGAGTCTTCCAAATCTTCCAACGTGATTTTCTTATTTTGATTATGGCATTCGTTTCTTTTTAGTGCGTATTCGCACCATACTCGTTGGCTCTCTAGGAATTCACTCTCCCAGGTGGAAATGTATCTGTATAGGTTAGGGATAAGCTGGTCTTCTTCGTGGGAGAGCCCGGCTCTAAAATGGGTAATTTTCCCGCTGTCCGTTTGCTTCATATAACGTAGGTCCGACTCTGGGATTAATATATGCCCCATGGAGAGCATTCCCAGCCCACCCAATTCTTTAGGGGTGTAGAACACCACGGGGGGAAAACGAGAAGGCATCTTCGAATTTAGACCTATCTTTATACGGGTCTGTATTTTATTTTCACATTTTACCAAGAGGTCTAACAACTCTTCTGTGTCTAAGACAGCCTCTCTGAAGTAGGTCATCAATCCGATGAGGGTGGTGTTCCATTTGTTTGCAATTTTGGTAAACGTGGTGCTTCCAGACGACATTAAAATTTGCCTGACTCGATTTTCAAATCGTTTCATGCTATTTTCTGACACTTTTAGGTACGCCTCTGCGGTTATTTCTTTGGTAACTTCGTTTTGCAGTTTCCACGTGCCTTCCTTTTCGCTGGATGATATGATCACGTTTTTTTCTCCTCCCCCGGGTTGATCTGCATCTGTGGTGGAGGAAGCTTCTTTACTTTGGTCCTTCTTTCCATACTCGTTTATGTACGAGGTGTACATGTTAATGCCGTATGACAGTTGCCTTATTTTAGGGAGAATGCGGACTTCAAATCCGGCAATGGTGAAGAGTAAATTGGGATTGTCCTTCGAATAAACGCTTACGAAGGTGTTGTAATGATCCCAATCTAGCGAAGTTAACGATCGGGGGATCCTATTTTGAATCTCCCAGAATGTTGCTCTGCCGAGGTTAACATCATGCTTCATTTTTCTCATTCGACAGTCCCTTGGCCAGCACGTCTTGTTATTATACCCAACGATGTTTTCATTATTTGGGTCCGGATTTTCTGTTAAAAATTTCTGAATCAAATCTTTCGATTCTTCATTCGAAAATTTGAAGAGGATCCAAATCTTGTCTACATATCTGCAGTAGAGTCTGATCGGATGCCTCGTCTCCACTCGCACATTCTGGTAGCTGAGAAATGGGTTAACATCGTTGTAGGGACCGGCAATGTCGTACGCTCTCGTCAACCCTAGGATGAGTAAGTCGATAATAATGGTATAGTATTGAAAAACGAAAGAAGAAAATTGAAGTCCTCGAATAATCCCAAAGGAGTTTATATGGTTCATGTCTTTAAAGGTAACATTTGTATTATTCTTCGCGGTTATGTAATCCGCAATGTTGTGATCCACAATCAGACGTAGCAATCTGTTCAGCAGCGTCAAATCGATTTTCTCGTATATTTTACTGAACTGTGTTTGCAGCATTACGAGGCATTCATTGTTTTTTGTTTCCCAAATGTTGTGCAGATTGTTTATCCCCTGGCACATTTTATAGACTAGTAATGGCTGCGGTTCGTTGTCGGACGGCTTGACCCAATTGGGAAATAAATTTCTTAGGTCTCCCTCATACCAGAGATATTGGTCTAGGTAAGCGTCTGTAATTTTTTCCAATGGGTCCACTTCGTACACAGGTACTAAGTGTGTGTAGAGGTCTAGGAACGAGATGGATATTTCTTTGAATGCTCTCTGGGTGAGTAGGTGCCTTTTTATTCTAGATAGCGTCTCATACGGGTTGTCGTAGGCCTGTTCTATGAACCCTAGCTCTTCCCTCTGTGATTGATTAAGTCTATTTTTAACGGTAAAGGTTTCCTTGAGTTTCTCCAGAGCCAGAATGAGAAGCTTCGTGTCATGCTTATAATTCAGTGGAGGAAAAGGAATGTGCGTAAATTTACGCGATTCGAACCAGTGAATTGCCGTGGTGTAGAGCGCGACGGCTTCTTCTCCAGTGACATAGGGACCATCCTTTAAGTATTCATGCTGCCTTTCCTGTTCTGCTTTGAGCCAGAGTCTGGTTAGTCTACCTAGATTTTTCTTACACACCGTTTTGTCTACCGTCGCCCCTCTCTTAATCCTCTCCCTGTTATAGTAAGTAGCGTTAATCCACCAATCTGCCTTGAGCTTAATATATCGGATGATCATATTTTCCACTGGGAGAGGTAACCCGACGACCTTCCAAGGGATGTTGGCTTTCCAACATCTCCATGCTTCGCTAAGATGTTGCAAAATGAGTCTAGCCTTCCCTTTATTATTTTTCAGTCCAGCAGGAATCATATCGATTATATCATGCATGACAGCTGCTCTGAGTTCTAAATCGAAGTGGCTTTCAACCCTTTGCTTGGTAACCGTTTTGGCAATCCCTTTGGAGACTCTTCCCTCGAATTGTCTCGCCAGTAAATTGCTCAGCCATCTTTCTAGAAGCGGGATAACCCCTCTGAGGAAGAAAATCCACACTCTCCACAGAGGTGCCCACAATCCACAACCAGGACCTTTCCCCACGGACCCCGTATTAAACCTGTAATAAATTAAATGCTTCAAATCTTTACACATCCTTACTTGTCTCATAAGTCTGTACTTATATCTGTACATTCCTGTCAGTTGCCCCACATGGGCAAATATATACTGTATTCCGTCGGCCAATTGGTACGCATCGATATTTCCAAGCCTATATTGCACATGCGAATCTACTATCGATTTCGTTAGTCTTAGGATTTCTCTGCAAAGATGAAAGGCGTTACCAAAACGAGACTTCTTCCTCTCCTTGGTGGTTAACGTTTTGACTGGCTTCAAATTGAAATTGTAATCCAGGTGAAGGTAATTCAAATTCTTCCTATGGATTAGCAAGTTGAGCATATTGTATCCTTGTCTGCATACCTGGAGACCTACCTCCACCCAATCCATTTCTGTGCACTGGAAAAATTTCGTACTCTTAAATATTCTAAATAGATACTTTTTCTTCATACTTTTTGGTCTCTTCGAGTGTAGGTGGTTTAACACCCAACATTTGAGTAGCTTCTGGTAGGACACTCTCACCTTGACTGGGTACTTTGTCGATATGTGTTCTTTGAACCAGGACTGCACGAGGGGGATGTCTATTCCTCTCCTTGTGTAGCCGCACTTTTTGTTAAATGGGTAGGGAGCATGGTAGAGTTGAATTCCATTGATGGTTCTTTCCGTGTAGAGAGGATACTCATGTAGCAGGGGCAGCATTCCGTACTGCACATTTTTGACTACTATTTTGAGCTTACTCGGAGTTGTGGCTTCTTCCCGTTTGGTTTCGAGTTGCTTCGTCCCGCGCTTATCCTCCCCCGAGCGGTTCTTCGTGCCTTCGCCGTCGTCGAGGTTACCGTCATCGCGGATGTCGTTGTCGCGATCATCCTCGTCAAGATCATCCTCGTCGCGGTTACCTTCGTCGTGGTTATCCTCTTCTCGATAATCCTCGTCGCTATCGCCACGCTCATCCCCATCGTAGGGGTTCCTCCTCTTCTTGCCACCCCTGGCGTAGCCCGTCCTGGAGCTGTTATCCCCCGAGTAGTTCTCTATCGTGCTATTGTCTACCTGGTCCTCGTCTTTATACTTGCTGCTGTAGACGTTCGTGTCGCTGTTGTCTTCGCTGCTGCGGTGGTGCTGGCTTCCCCTCTCGCTGGCCCTTCCACTACTTTTACCGCCGCCATTCCTGTACGTTGTCCTTTCGCTGTTCCGGTGACGATCATCCCCGTGGCGGTCATCGTGGGATCCATCTGACAGAGTCACATCCTGGCTGGAGTGATAGTCACCTTTTCTGTCCCGCCTGGAGTCACGTTTATCCCCTCGCTTGGTTCGTCCTCCTCTCGGGTACTTTCCCCTCTCGTTTTTGTTAGCCCTACCACTTCTTCGCTTGGAATGGGCTGTCCTTCCTTCTCGGTCACTACTCGCAGCGCTGCCATGACTACTATACTCTCTAGCGCTGTCATCGCTGGAATGTTCCCTGCCCCGATTTTTAGAGTGACTAGAGTTGGTCCCGTGTCTTCCCCGGGGAAGCACCTTATGGTAGTGTATCTCCTTTCTTGTAAAAATGAGATAAAAATCGTCCAGATGTTTTTTCTCCCTCTCTGGGTTATCAAAACTTCCGATCTTGTACGATGGAATGGGGTTGATAATAAGGTCGAAGTAGAACGGGGGGAGATCAATGTCTTCCAGTTTGATATAGACACACATAGGGGAGTGGTACTTACTAACAGCAATTTTTCTGGGCCTATTATTATACAGATAGGGGAAGGCAATTTTGTATTCCGTTCTAATCTGTTGGCGTATAATAATTTTGTTAATATCATTAAACTCATTCCAGTCTTCGTCATCTTCGTAGATGTCTCTGTACAAGGGTTCGAATTTTGGTCCACCGGGTATGGCCATATTTAACGCCTTGGCAGTGTAGAAGGATTTCAAATTGAACAAATAAAAATAATTATCGTCCTGAAAATCGCTAAATAGCTGATTTCCTAATCGGTAGAGGACCCCCATTTGTTCCAAACTTAGTTTATACTTTTTATAGCTAGTTCCTAAGATGTGATTCCGATTATAGAGCAAAGGTTTGGAGTCATAAAACCAGTCGATAACACTTCTGTCCTCATCTTTGTCTAACTTCATTTGTATGCACTCTAAGGGTTCTATATCTAGAATATTATCTGCGTAGTCCAGTGGAGGCTCTTCATCATCGAAGGGGGGGAATCTCATTCTTTTGAAATGTTTCCTATCTCTTTTTTCCCTTCTCATCATGATCCACATGGTTCCCCACTGAGCAATGTAAAGAGGATCTATGACGACGAAGATTTCATTCACGAAGGTAATCGCCCCAGTGATGTGATAGATCACCTTTGTGTTTTTAATTTGTTCCCAAGGCATGGGGATATTCTCTAAAAGCTTAAAAACAGCATGCGGCACATATTTCAAGGCACCCAAGTATACTCTCTTATCATATCTGTACTTTTTGTTACTCATGTCGCCATGTTCTTTGACTATTTTTCTTAGATGCTCACATGGCATTTCTTCTTTTTCTTCCATTACTCCAAATTTTTTTTTTTTTGAATATTTTTTACTATTTATCATTTTCCATTTTCGTGCCTTTTCTTTCACTATGTTAAATTCAGTCGGCTCTGGAATAGTGACCTCCTTCTCGACGGTCTTCTCTATTTTTTCTTCCATTTGGCTATATTTCGTTTTGGTATAATAGCTTTCTTCGTCATAATATTTCCTCCTTCTTCTTCTTTTCCTTCGTTCGCTTCGAGATATGTATTCATCGTGCATGTCTTCTGCGTGGTGTCGCCTCTCTCCTCCCATGTAGTCCTCCTCATCGTTCCTGTACGGATAATAATCTTCCGCTCCTCCGCTTTCGTTAAGGTACATCGGTGGGGGGAGGTGGCTCATATTGTTTCCAAACGGGTCTGTCATGTCGTCCATTCCTGTTTGTGTGTAGCCTCCCATGTGTGGCCCATTGGGGAGAAAGTAATACGGCATACCATTCATCCCCGGTCCAGCACCATTCATTTGGTTTTTCATTTTCATCATGAAGGGAGGAGGGGGCAGATTCATCATGTTGGGCATGAGGGGGTTCATATTGGGTGGCAAATAGTTCATGTTGGACGGCATGTTGGGCGGCAGATTGGCCATGTTGGGTGGCATGTTCGCTATGTTTGGCGGCAGATTGGCCATGTTTGGGGGGAGGCTGCTCATAAGCGGCGGCATGTTCAGCATGTTGGGTGGCAAGTTCGACATTCCTGGAGGAAACGAATTCATGCCGTGCACGAAGCTGGGCCCCGTTGCTCCTGCTCCTGACGCAGCGGGAGGTGATGAAGTGGGGCCGTTCTTCCCCTTTTCCGACAACTCCATCAAATTTGGATTCATTCCGTACTGAGCGATGTTGTAATATAGGTTGTTGGGGGGACCCTGGAGGTTACTAAGGAGGTTCATGTTACTGGGTAGTGGCGGGATTCCAGCGCTGGGTATTGGGCCTCTCGTCATGCCATCGTTATCTATCACTGGGGGTGAGTCGTTCTTTGCGTTTTTCGCTTGGCCATTTTCGTAATTACTGGTGTAACTTTTAATTGGGTCATGGTAGGCTTCTCCGTTTTCCTGCTGTTCGCCCTGTGGTGGTGGTGGGAGGAAATACGACAAGTGGTTATCAGGGGGTAGGCAAACAGCTCGATCTACAGAATTACCACGGACCACTCAACGTGCACGTGCGGCGCGCTCCACATGTGCAGCACTCCCGCTTCTTACCTTGTTCGAGCGATCTTCCGCGGGCTGTTCTTGGCCTTCATGGTCGCTCATTTCAGATGGGGAAAGGGCGCTATCTTAGTAGGTTTGCAAGGAAGAATCTACCTGCTCGGGGGAGTAACATATCTGTGTATGCCCCTCCTGATGCGAGGTACACTTGTATGTGCTCTGTTCTCGCTTGCTTTTTCGCAGTGGCTTCTTAACACGGGAAAGAAAACACTATGATTATAAACCAAGGAGTATTCGCCAAGAAAAGAAGTGTTTTTTTTCTGCTTATCTTTCAGATGGTGTTAAAAAGGTTTCTCACTTGCGTGGGCCATTATTTGTGCTAGCATAGAATATGCGTACAAAGGGGCAGTTACATACACGTATAGAGGTATACATTATGCAAGCCATTCATATACCAGTTCGTGCGTACATACATGTGGTAGGTGTGATGCGTGTGGCTGTATTGGTGGCCACAAAAAGGAACCCTCGCAAAATGACTTCGGTTAGGAATGCTCCTCTGGGTTGAGGCCCATTCGGAATAGTAACCAACTCGTGGGCGAGAAGCAATTCTTTCATAGCCATCCGCGGCAACGTACAAAAGGGTTACATGAGCGTATGCGCTATGTAAAGGTAGATATTATACAGATATATATTATATATACATATACGTACGCGTTTTTTTTCTTTAGAGGAAGAAAAAGAAGAAAAAAAAACTGTTCATGTGATCATCCATATGAAATTCCCCTGTAATGTGGCTCTGCCAATTTGATGAATGAAAGGAACCGCGTACAAGTTTGCATTTAAAGGAGCACCTTTATTTCCGGGCTAAATATATATGTGCTCCGAAATATATATCCGTGGTATGGAGGGGCATATAGTGTAACCCTCGGAGTGCTCCCCAGGCAACGCTAATAGGAAGGGTGATGAAACGGTAGGAGAATGCGTCAACAGAAGGGACTCTACCTGGCTCTACGATTTTATGCCATTTTCCCATAAGCACAACTACCTTTAAGGTGCACTCCCCAGTGGAAGAGAAATTGGCATAACTGCAAAGTACACCGCTGGGACGGCCTAACCCATGAACAAAATGAACCAACATCACGCATAATTAAGCAAAAAAATTGAAAGAAATAGTAACTATACTTGCATGTGCTGCCTATGCAGCTGTATAGCAAACTTTAAAAGAAGGGACCTCCATTTTATGGGGAAAAAAGAAAAAAATGCCATATTTATGACTTTTTTCCCCTACGGCGTTCAACAAACTGGGGAGTACAATTTTGGGGCCTCCGCAAATTGGCCTGAATCTATGCGCGTGGTTGAGACCCCCCAATTGATATTTGCACTTTAGGTAGGTAAAGATAAATGCAAGAAAGGATATGCCGCGAACGGGAAAGGAAAACAAGACTCAGTTTGCACGGCTTATCCGTGCTAAAGGGAGACTCACGATCGAGGAGATATACTATGCAAGAAGGATGATGATGTGGGGTATTGGGGGGGAGTAGGCTCTCGCCCAGTTTCCCAACCTTGTTCTTCTACAACTATGCATTGAAGGTTTTTTCCCCTCGTGCACGGGGCACCCTGCGCAATGATTAGCGTTTTTAAAAATGTTCCCACGGTGGGGAAGTAGATATCGAATTATTAGGGCTGTGCCAGAGGCTGGTACTCTGCGCGGTCCTGTCCTCATGTGTGTATGATTACCCATACTGTATTTTCCCCCTCCGCGAGGGCACATTTTAAAGAGAAAGAAATACCCCGGGTGGGTTGCCTCATTTTTAAAGGATCCAACCTATGCACAGTGGTAAAATAAATCATTTTAAATTTGTGAAACGAACAGGGTGACGACCTTCATTCGAGGATAACGTAAGGAACAGTCCTTCATGGATAGCCATACGCGGTTAAGTATCTCTCACTTGCAGATGCTCATTGAGGGAGTAATCCTTACGGAGGCAGGTTTCACCCCCTTCGCAGAGTACTTCATTTACGCATTCATTTTTGCGGACTTGGGGACAAATGCTTGCCCAAAATGGAGGCTGGATGAAAGTCACAAAAGGTGGGGAAAGCGAAACAGTGGGGAAATGGAAATTCCCAATTGTGTTGGTTCATAACACCTTTCTGTGAAGAGCCCCTGTGGTGATATATATAATACCCCCCCCACTGTTTTGCCCATCTTAGGGTATATACTTTCATCGCGCGGGGCTACAGATGTGAAGGCATGTACTTTAACTGTTGCCCCAAATTGGTATTCCCCTCAATTGCGCCTCTTCACGCGTTGCTGAACAACACATGGAGTGACTCCTGTGAAATTTCCCTTCAAGTGTCGCGTATAATGGGAATGTGTAGCGAACCGGGGTGTTTATCAAGGGAAAAAAAAAAAAAAAAAAAAAAAAAAAATTAAATTGAATTAAATTAAATTGGATTAAATCAAATTAAATTAAATTGAATTGGATTAAATTCAATTGAATTAAATTAACTCAACTTGGCATAAATTCGAATTTTTTTTCTTTTTTTTAAGAGGAGCCGTTTTCACTTAGTTCTTCATTTGGGGGGAATCTTTGAGTCGCTCTATTCTGCTGGCATTTTTGGCCGTGCACCACCTCCGATGAGTCGAAGCAATTCCAAGTTAAGGACATGCATGAGAAAAACGCTTCCATAAGGAAAGTGATAAAATAATTGACTTCGGAAAAATGAACCACATGGCTTCTTCCCTCGAGGCATCATCGGCGTTCATCATGCAACGTGTGTTTGCATGTATTCTCTTCTTCCCCAAGCGTGCGCCTCGTAACACGTTAGAATTGTTGCAGCCAAATGGGAGCATCACAGAGGGGACACAAAATGTTGAGGAGGCATCCAAATTGTGGCTAATCGACGATGTATGCAATATAGGGCCTCTAAAAAAAGTCATGAAAAATGGCAAAAGGAACAACTCCTCCGGTGATCGCATATTTGAGAGCGCTCCTCCACGCTCGTGAAATAAGTGCAACGATGTGATCATTTCAAAGAATTCAATAATAGGAAAGGAAATCTCTTAAGTGCTTTGCAAAATTGACGATTTGATAATCGGAAATGGGTAGTGTCGAATGACCCTTTTTATACATCTTAAGTAGGAAAGCTCCTCATCCCCATATCCCTTTCTTGCCGAGGGTTAACCGGTTCTACGCCAAAATAGAGACGCTGCATGCACGTCCCCCCGTTGATTATTTTTATTTTTTTTTTTTTTTGCTTAACCTGTTTTATTCTTCTGTGAAAAATGAAGGCATTTGAGAAAATCCTCTTAGTGATTATTCTAAGTTGGGCTTATCTCATCACCCCCTAGGGTCCTTTTAACTGTCTACACAGTGCCAAATGCACGCATTCGCACCATTGTATAATTGAGCCACTTGGGCGACGGGGCCGGGCAAGTGGAAGAACATTTGGGAAGCAACGACATTCTCGATTGTGCGTCAAACGGATGCGCTTGCAAAATAGTGCCAAGTGCAATGGCAAAACTGTGCCAAGTGGAATTGTAAAATGAGTACACATTAAGTCGGTACAAAAATGTATCATTCAAAATAGAAAAAAAGTTCGATTCGTCGGTTGACAATTCCTTTTAATTGGAACCTTAGAAATTAAGCAACAAAAAGTTGCATGCGGCCAAGTGGCAAAACGCCCGAGGACCAAAACCACTGAAAAAAACAACTGAAAAAAACAACTGAAAAAAACAACTGAAAAAAACAACTGAAAAAAACAACTGAACAAAACATCTGAACAGAACAACTGAACATAACATCTGAACGAAACATCTGAACGAAACAAGTGAACATCTGCATAAACACCATATCTAAACCCTAAATCTTAAAACCTTTCTCGAAAAACTTCTCTCTCCTTCTATTTGCACGGAACCATGTGGGATATTGCATACCTGAAAAGTGTGACGTTATTTTCTTTTTTCCTTCTGGCGGTTCAGTACTTGGAATATTTTTCCATAAGAAAGGGGCAAAGAAATGCACACACCAATTCTTTTGCCCAGTCGCAATCAGCTGCATTAAGGCTTTACTTGGCGTGGTGCGCCCCCGAACAAAAAACGCTGACAACCTTTCCAGCAGGATTTCCATTGCACAGTAGTAGCAGTGGTGTACCGGAGAATTGTCCTAAGGCGGTGGCGCTAAGTGCAAATGGTCATATCAAGGGACATAAAAATAAGGATGACAAAATATGCGCACTTGACCAAAGTAACCTTACTTTGTGTTACAATGGGGTGACTTTTTCTGGGGGAAAAAGTTGCGCTAAACCCTTCGCATCAGCGCTAGTCAGGATGAGGAACAACAGCTGCGCATGCAGTGATAAGGACGATTTTTACAAAAATGAAAAAGAAAAAAATGCACCTACGCTGGATGGGAAAATTGTGAAGCGGATTATCTCTCTCTTTTCTAAATTGCTTGACGAATGTGCTCAAGTGAAACGTAAGTTGACCAACATGTTGGAAGTTTTTCTCACGATAGGAGCTACCCCCAGATCGAATCTTTCCCCCCGGGAAAATGTAGCAGATAGTGGTGCATATACATTTATGGATGAAGATAAAATTTACAAGAATTTTTTTTATTACCCTTATGTGCTTTCTCGAAATGGATATTTAACCAAAGATGAAGAGCTTTTTTCTTTTCACTGCACCCATTCTGACCGTGTCGGAATTATCAATAGTGAGGGTATCACAAATGGTGGAGTCATTCTGGACGAATGGCTAGAAGGAGGAGCACACCAACAGGATTACAAATCGACATGGGATAAAATGAGGTGCAAAATGGACCCCTTTGGAGGAGACATCAGGGGAATGTCACCGAAAATGTCAGGCAGGAGGTTATGGAACAGAAGGGCGCTGTTTAAACAGGCCAATAAGGACGGCGAAGGGAATAAGCAGAAGGATGATAAATACAAGGATGACAATGACCCCAAGAAAAACCCCCCACTGCTAAATGGTTATACAGTATTTTATCCCCGGGAGGAACGTAATAAAAAGAGAAGAACAAGCAGGATACTTTCACTACCATATATATACGAACTCATGGAAGATCCGGAAAAGGGGAAGAAACTAAAAGAAGAAAAAGAGAAACAATATGAAGAAAAAAAATACAAAGAAAATGAAGAAAAAAAAAAAAGAAAGTCTATTAATTGCAGGATCTTGCAAGAGAATGATGAGAAACAAAATCGTTCTACCAATAAGATGGATAGCATAAGAGGAGACGACGAAATATTAGGAGGGAAGGATGGTGCAAGTAGTAAGAAGTATAGACAGTTTAGAATCCTCTTAGAACAGAATCATGCGTCCTATTCCTGTGCAATGGGAAAAGGTGCAGAAGGAAGAAAGAATCAGCGAGTCAGTGATGTATGTCGTCGGAATAGTAGACAGCTTGGAATTGTACGAGAAGAATATATTTCACCAGATAATGGTTCTTCAGACATAAATGGAGATGATGGAGATGGAATCATAAATCATGATGGAACTGACACGGAGGGTAGACAATTTAGGATTCTAGCAGGTTCACCCGAAGATGATGATGAAGAAAGATTAGAAGTAGATGGACCTGACCCAAGTGGAAGCGGAGGAAGCGGAACTCAAGGAGATCAATCTAGCGGAAACAACGGTGGAAGTGGTTCAAATGGTAGAAGGCTTAGAAATTTAGCCGGTTCACCCGAAGATGATGATGAAGAAAGATTAGA